TCAGCCCATCCTAAGACTGTGTGATGTACTACTCTTGGCAGTTAGAATGATATAAAAGCAAGTTTTTCACACATAGAACGAAATTCTCATTCTTACCCATATATTTTTTAAGTTTTTATTTGTAAAATTCTGTTCAGTTTGTTCTCTCAGTTAAGAGTCTGTTTCTGCTTCTGCCTTTCCTTCTTTTTTCTTCCTTGCTCACTTGTTTTGTTCTCTAATTCCACATGCAAGGAAATCATGTGATATTTCTCTTCTCTGACTGACTTATTTTTCTTAGCCTTAAGGCCCTCACCCTCTAGGTCCATCCATGTTGAGTCTATTTGGCCCAGGTATCAAAATACTAATCTCTGCTAATTATTGAACTATATAAGGATGCACCATGTCTATACAAGCAAAGTCACATCCAAATTATACCTGTAATTTTCTTTCCTTTTTTTTTTTTTGCCTCAAATATTTGGAAGTTTTATTTAAATGGTTTTGTATTCCCTTTAACCAACAATTTCAAAAAAAGAGAAAATACACTGCTATCTCAAACACGAGTGTCAGCCAGAGAGGAGGGCATGGATGTTAAGAGCTGGCAGTGCCTGCTTCCAGGTTGCCTTTCCCAGCCCCACTCTGTTGGGATGGCCAGTCCCAGGAGTTCACCTGGGCCTTGGAAAGTGAGGTGGGAGCAAACTGCCCATCCTGCAGAGAATGATTTTCTCCCGCAGGTTGGGGACATAAGGTGAGACCTGGTGGTTCTAGAGGTGAGGGAGTGGAAAGCACAGATCCCAATACCCCATGGAATTGCAGGGCTTCCCAGGCCTGGAGTAGGAGGTTCGTTAGAAAATAAGATGCTTTGGAGAATTTCTGCAGTCTGTATTCTCTGACTACCCACAGGAAACCTACTCTGTTGGTCAAGCAAGGCAGGGAGGGAGGGGAGCAAAGGCTGAGGCCGGAACTGGTCTGGCCTCAGTGAAAAATTCCAGAGGAGGAGTGAGGCAGGCAGCAGTCTTTGGTTTCTGGGTCCTCTTCCTGGCAGCTGTAGAGGCTGTGAAGCCTCCCAGCCCACCCTGTTCTGAGGTGTGGTCTCCCAGGCAGGCAGCACTGAGAGAGTGAAGCCATCTGTCACAGGCTGGAGGAATTCAGGCCCCTGTCATCTTCAAAATAAAAAATGCCCAGGGAGCAGGGCCACAGAAGGAGCAGGAGGCTTGGAGGATTCATTCAGCTGTCCAAAGCAATATGGTCGGTTGTTACCGATAACATTGCGTGTGGCAGTTCCCGCTTTATGAGTGCAGCCGGTGGGGCCCGGGCAAAGACCGCCATCTTCCCCGCCATGGGCCCAAGGGCACACAGCAGATTGAGCCCGGTGCTCTGTTGCATAATCCACTGCGGGAAACACATTCTCTACCAGCCACCACCTTGCAAAGGCAGGCCCACGCTGGCCAATGGGTGATGCAAGGATGGAGGGAGCACTGTGAGTTAGAATGATAGTGAGATAGTGGAGGGTTCCATGGTAGTTTGTCATTCAGGGAGACCATCCCATGCAGATTTGCATCTATACTGAATACTCTATAATTGTTTGATTGTCTTGAAGATTTAGATGTTCCACACGGATTGAATCACTTCAGCGACTCTTACCGAGTCAGAGAATCACTGCCGCTGAATGCTGTCTAGCTGTCAGAGGGTAAGCTGGTATTGCTGAGCATTATCCTGAGATATTTATTCAGAAGAGTAAATAACTCAATTTTCCTAAAGTCTCCCCAAATGAAGAGATTAAAACACATTTTAATTCCCCGCTAATAACCTCTTTTAACATTATTTTTCCTTTAATTCCAATTGTATATTTGTTCTTCTTTAAGATTGTTTTTATTATTATTAAGGTTTTTTGTAATTTTAACTCCAGCATAGTTAATATATGGTGTTATATTAGTTTCAAGTGTACAATATAGTGATTCAACAATTTTTATACACTGTTGTTACAAATTACTCAGAGTTTTATTTTTTTTTATTTTTTTTTTTATTTTTTTTTATTTTTTTTTTTAAATTTTTTTTTTTCAACGCGATGATGGGACAGAGAGACAGAGCATGAACGGGAGGGGCAGAGAGAGAGGGAGACACAGAATCGAAACAGTTCCATCGAGCCATCAGCCCAGAGCCCGACGCGGGGGCTCAAATGGACCGGCGTAGGATCGTGACCTGGCTGAAGTCGGACGCCTAACCGATCATGCCACCCAGGCTTCAATTACTCAGAGTTTTAATTAGGAGCACTATAGTTGAACAGCCTTTATCTGCTATTTTATTTTTGTTCAGTTCACGCTCTATACTTCATTATTTTGAATTTAAATGTAAACTATAGAAATAATCTATTTATTGATCTACTTTTCAGTGTAGTCAATTACTGAATATCCTAAGTTTTGATAGTGAAACCAAAATTGAAACCATTAATCTAACCCATGAAAAAAAAGGAAAAATATATCTTACTGTAGAATAATGTTTTAGGTCTTTCTTAGTAATTTTACAGAGAAACTATTTTATATAGCCAAGCTTGAAAAGAAATAACCTGTTGTACATGAAACCACTTGGCTAATTAAAACAAATAAAACTTATTAGACTATTACAGACAATTTTTGTTCCTTACCAGTAACTTAAATTTTAGAAAATAGGAAAAAAAAAGAACACCTCTCCTACTTGCTTGAATTACACTAAGTCTGCTTTGCTCTAAATGACACTCATTATTCAAAGCAATTTTGTTCATTTTATGAAAACTGAATTTAATTTCTTTTCCTACTGTTTAGGTTGACTTCAGGTAAACTGCTTCTTTATTAATCCCCAGTATGACAATGTTTCTCAATAAACATTATCAATTATTCCATGTGTTTTTTTTTTTTCCTTTGTATAAAGCTTTTAGTATCACCAGTTTAAATAGTGTTCCCATTTAATTAAAGGCTTTTAAAACTATTACTGGCCAGGGTTATATGTGTAGTTTGCCCTACTGGGGAAAAAATCCAAATCTTTAACTTATGAAAACTTTATACACAAAAACACTATAGAAGCCTCGCAGCTTTCATTCTTGTCAAAACATCCTCTTGGAATAATTAAACAAAGCCTTAAATCCTATTTCTCTTTATTTTAATGACCACATTTTTAAATATTTGTTTTTTTAATTTTTTTTAATGTTTATTTATTTTTGAGACAGAGAGAGACAGAGCATGAATGGGGGAGGGTCAAAGAGAGAGGGAGACACAGAATCTGAAGTTTAAGAGGCTCCAGGCTCCTGAGCTGTCAGCACAGAGTCTGGAGCAAGGGGCTCAAACCCACAGACCGTGAGATCATGACCTGAACCGAAGTCGGACGCTTAACTGACTGAGCCACCCAGGCGCCCCAATGACCACATTTTTAAAATGAATTCAACAAATTAAAAACAAGAGCCCAAGACAAAACACACACAGTTCAGAAAACGTAGCCTTCCATAAACTGCAGTAGGGTTGTTTTCTTTAAGCATTGGTTAATTAGAATTAAACATTATGTAAGATTCTCCTAAGGAGAAAATGAGCATTTTGGTAATCAAATTTACATAATGTTGATACACACAAGTATATAGAATGCTTCATCTTTACAAAAATCAACTATTTGTTTAGGAATTCGATTTGGGCAGAGCTAATACTCAAAAACTTATTAGAGCTTCCTTTTTCCTTGGTTTCTTTGCCACTGTTTATCTTCTTTTTGTTGCCAGCTTTGATGTTTCATCTACTACCTCAACTTCATTTTTCAGGTCTTTCAATGTATGTGTTCCTTACGGTCTGATATTTATTCCTTCTTTCCTTCTCTTTAAGACTGTTTTTCCCATCTCTCAGAGGTTTAGCTAATTTCTGACAAATATTTGTTCTAGCTCTTTTTCCTGAGAGTTAGCTCCTCATTTTGGATTCTCACATTCAACTTCTTTCCACAGCCAATTCATATTCATTTGCAACAAGGAGACAAGGATGTCAGTTATGGTGTGGCCAAAATACTGTCAGTACAGTAGTCAATGCAGGCAGCTGTGAAAGCTAATGACAAGTGCGTGAACATCATATTAAGTGAGAGAAAACCTGGGGCTCACAGTAATACTGTAGGAATCAGCAGACACAGGCAATTGTTAGGCATGACGGTTATTCAGATAAAAAAGTGGTTAAGATCTATAATAAAGACATGATTTGACTGTTGTACTAATGGATAAATGAAGTAAGAGAGTAAATCAGCAATCTTAAGAATTATCTTTAGGTGGTGTTATGGGCTGAATTGTGTCACCCTAAAATTTATATGTTAAAGCCCTATGCCCTACTCCCTCAGAATATGAATTTTAGATTGCCCCATAATAGAAGATCTGTTGCCCAGATTAAAGCAACCTCTCAAGTGGTCTCTCTAACTCTCTTAACTGGTCTTACCCATCTTCTACACTGTTATAATGGTGATCTATTAAAATATACATCCACCTATGATACCCTCCTGATGAAAAGCTTCCAGTCATTTCTCTGATCCAAGTGGATATAATTCATGCAACACACAGCCTTCTGTTATGGCTTGGAAGACTATCTTTAATAAAGACCTTAAGCATCTTTCAGCCTCACTTCCTCACATATCACCTTATGTTCCAGTGTTATCAAACTGCTGGAAGTTCCCCTGATCCTGTTAGGTTGTTTCATTTCTCCATGACTCTGTGTGTGCTCTCCACTCTCCCAGTAAGTCCTTTTCTTCTCTGTTTTCCCTTCAGTCCTTCTGGTTCTCTTTCCAGATTTCTACAGATAATTTTATGCCTTGGCATCACTCCTACCAAACACAGCACTTCGGAATAACAGACTACACAGTCATAGATAGGGAATATTCTAGCTCTAGTCCCTGAACCTGGCATACAGTAATTTCACAAGTTGCCCTGAGCTCATTCAGAATTAGCTATCAGAATTAGTCACATAACCATTTTATTGTGAAGGTATATACTCAAGAACTCTATGGCAAACAATTATTTAATATTCATTACTCACCATATTTATGGGGTCAACTGGTCCAATGCTGTTTACATAAACATCAGTTTCAATTACTGTAGGCCTCACTGCAAAATACCAACACAAGGAGTGGTCAAAGGTTAGATCAGAAGTTGTGTTAAAGAAATCTTAGCTTTAATAAATCTTCATAAATAATAACATTTACCATTTAAATAACAAAATATCCTTCATTAGAAAATGAGGAAACATAGCCCATTACAAAAACACAAACACCTTTTCAGTTTACTAATCAATTATGTATGTAAAAATTAACACTTTTAACTAAAATATTTTAATGTACAACCTAAAAGTGTTATAAATATTTAAATCATTCATTAAAATTAACAAAGTTAATTCAATAAAAATTGCTAGATAATTTGCTTTCTGCAATATTACAGGATTTTAGAATTGGAATGGGTATTAGAAGCTAAATATAAAATAATTCTACTTAATGCATATCAATGGTGTGCTGGTAAATGTTTAACAACAGCCTTGCTCCAGTAGTGGGTGGGGAGGAAGCCTTGATTTATCGTTCTTACAGATATCCATGGATGACTATTCCCACAGAGACTCATTTAAGGATACCAATGGGAAGTTGCTGAAAGCAGACTTGGGACAATATCAAGTAGCTATTGTGAGCGAATATAAGCATGTTCTAGCACACAATGGACTTGAAGCATGGTTCTGAGGATTAAAGAGATAATGTCTGTCAAGCATCTACGTTCAGGTCTGATTCTTATGGGGAGCTTCATAAATATTTGCTGTTTCTTCTTTCTCCCATGTTAACAACATTCCTTTAGGTTGTTTAAGTTGGCTCCAGAGTTAGGTGTATTTTTTTTTATGTTTTTATTTATTTTTGAGACAGAGAGAGACAGAGCATGAGCAGGGAAGGGACAGAGAGAGAGGGAGACACAGAATCGGAAGCAGGCTCCAGGCTCTGAGCCATCAGCACAGAGCCCGATGCGGGGCTCGAACTCACAGACTGTGAGATCATGACCTGAGCCGAAGTCGGACGCTCAACCGACTGAGCCACCCAGGTGCCCCAGAGTTAGGTGTATTTTTATCTAACTTTCACAGAGTATATTGTAGAGATGTCACTATAGAGTTCATCTATTGTGTTTCATACATAACCATTTCTGTCTTTGCAGTTGGTCTTAAATGGCATATACTGTATATCATTGTTTTTCTATTCTATCAAAATGTGTAGTGCAGGTCAGCCTTTTAAATGTTGTCAAATGACATGATTAAATAAACACCTACAATGCCACCATATTTAATTGTGCTTTTTTGTTTGCCGTGAAAAACATTGTCACATAGTTTCTTTCATTCTCCTTATCCTACTAAATAAAATATAAAGGGTTCATTTATTGATTTAAACAATACTTGTTGAGGAGTGAATGTAAAGCGTTCACAAAGTAGATAAGAAGAAAACCATTTCAAGAAGAAAACCTATTAGATACCTCACAGAGATTTATAGAGAGATGATGCAAACAAAAGAAAACAAAAAAAAAAAAAACACCTTGTAGATTGAAAGTTTCTATACCAAAGTGGCATGTTTAGTAATATTTACTCGGCTCCCCTTGCTAAATTTTATCTGATTTCCCATTTCTGGCCTAATATTTATCATTCTTACAATTCTGACACTATGTTCAACCTCTCAGGACACACATCCACCTCTAACACATAGCTGAGTCCACCTGTCAGAGTCTCTATCCTGCTCCAAGGCCCCTGTATTGGAAACTTCCAAGCTAGAGGGTCTCCCACACCAGCAAGATTCAATGGAATACTTGAGGCATTTGGCAAAAACAGTGCCTAGAGAATTTTGAAACAATGTTAAATTTTACCGTTTGTGATTAAAACTAAACTACACTTAGAAAAACATAATAACATTTACATAGTTTGTTTTCCTCAAATAAAGATTTTAGTAGGTGGCATATATATTTCCTTACTAGAAAGATAAATGAGATTTGCTAAAAGTAGATTTAGTATGCAAAACTTTAGGTCTGTAGACCTGTACAATACATGACTGTGTTATTCAATCTGCTAGCCAATAATTATATTTTGTATAAACGTAAGGTCACATGATTTATAGAAGGCTTTATAAAGCCTGATGACTTCTGAGATGATTTGCCATTTATTTTTGACTATGAAATAAGCCAATAAATATCATACAAAATTAAGATAATTTTGGTCAGATTTACACTAATGGATTTTATGAAACCCAATTAATAAAAAATAGGTTGATTTGTTCCATATGTAAGTATATATATTGCCAGTTAAAGCAATTAAGGGCAACGTTCAAACTTATTTAATTAGATTATTTTTCAGCTCATCTGATAAATCAACAAACACTAAACATCTCTTTACTGCATGATAGTAAGGGCTGAACATTGTCTATGCCAAGAAATAAGATTCTTGAAGACATTTCTATATACAGGATGTAGTTTTCACATTTACAGTGTAGAACATTTTAGATTTGAGTGATCTATCCTGGTTTCCTGATATCAATATTTCCTTAACCAATTATAAGGCATAGCCACACAGAAATATTTCATGAGCAACATAAAACAAGTCCATCTGGGATGGGACGAATGAAGAATCACATTTAGTGAGTCCCATGTAGAACATAGCTATTGATGAAGATATTCAATAAATAACTTAACAAATATATATTTGCATACCAGGAGTATTTTTAAAGTTATTGTGTCTTCTATTTTATATCTTTGGGTTCTTTGTATTTCATTCGGTTCTTTAAACTTCAGGCCCAAAACATGAGGAAGAATAAGCCTGAAGGTGGACTAAAATATTTCAGATTAATTTTGAAACTACAGCTAGAGATGATATCCTTCAAAATATACAGTAATGAGGAAAACAACAGAAATCTGCATTGTTCCTTAATAGTGACTCATTACCACTTTTATTGCTTCATACTATAAACAATACTTGTGGGTGAAATCACTGAAAATATAGGCTTCTTGGAAGAGTAAATATTTTTTCTTAGCACTATGATTTTCTCAGTCCAAGGTTGTTTAATTGCAGAGGTGGTATTTAAAAAAGAAAACTAAAAGAACATTGTCATTCCAAGCTCATTAAGTGATCGTTAGAAAGTGGCCATAGACTATGTTTAATTTTTCAACACACATGGAAATGAGAGATCTCCTTTTTTGTGACAACATAACAATGCTGAAAAAACATGTACTTCCATAGCAAATTACATTTTTCATAGATGGAAGGCAGGTAGACAACACTGGATTATTTTTGCAAAGCCCCTCTCTGCATTGTGATTCTAAGTACTTTGCTTTAAGTATCTCACCAGAATATAAACTCTTGGTGGGAGTGAATATATGGAAAGAATGGACATTTTGGGCACCTTAAAGAAAGTGCAGAGAATAGTATGAAGAAGGAAAAAGAATTAAAAAAAAGAAAAAGAAAGCAGTGAGGTCAATGAAATTTCCATGTTCAGCTTCCAGATAGCTAAAACCAGATACCTATTTTTCAGACATAAAATAAAATGGATTTAAAAAATATTCTCTTCATAATCATTTTTAACCATGCTTTCTTGGATGACATATTCAAATAAAGATATCTTTAGCAGATCATGTAGCTTCTGGGTCACTATTTTATATTAATTCTGATTAATTAATTAAGGTTAATTAAAAATTAATTCTGGTCAATTAAAAACTCTAATCCTAGAACATAAGTTTAACAGTCTTTTCCATTAAAAAAAGAAACAAACCCATTGATTCATATGATACCATTATAACACACTGACTCTGAAAGAACCATAATTAATGTTTTTCTTGCCATAGAAAAGACAGCAGGGGTTCTCAACCCAGATACTTTTTTGGGTTTGGGTCCAGATACTTCTTTCCAGGACTTGCTAACAGGGAAATGTCAACTAGCACTCACCATTTCCCTCTGCAGGTTACATATGGGCACATAGGTATTTGGCTATGTGTGGATGAAAAGGTACACATGGGTAAATAAGTACTTAAGTGAGTCTAATACTGTAGCCACAATACTAACACAAAAATCCAGAAAAGATACTAACACAAATTTTGGATAGAAAAAAGTGCCTACAAAGAGCACTTCAACAGTCAAGTCATTTATTATGAATACAGGTAAAATGCTACTATGCATGGTACATATGCTTACTTAAATAGAAATTAATCAAATTAAAGTAAAACTGTATTCTCTTAGCCAAACAAACAACATTTCAATACTCAATAGCCAATAACCAACTTAAGTATCCAATGCACATATATGACAATTTTAATATATATTTAACTATCTATTTTAATATAACTTAATTTATGGGGGCACCTATAAATTAAGGTGGCTCAGTTGGTTAAGCATCTGACTTCAGCTCAGGTCATGATCTCGCAATTGGCAGGTTCGAGCCCCATGTCGAGTTCTGTGCTGACAGCTCAGAGCCTGGAGCCTGCTTCAGATTCTGTCTCTGTCTCTCTCTGCCCTTCCCCCATGCTCTGTCTCTCTCTCTCAAAAATAAATAAACATTAAATTTTTTTAATATAACCTAATTTATATATATTTAATTAAGCATATATATGTATATTTATTTACTGAAATTGTCTTCTTAGGAAAATATAAGATGGGCCTCTTGTTCTGTAGTTAAACATCTCTGTAGGCAGCAGACTTAGCAACCTGCTCCTGCTCCTACACCTGATCAAGGTAAAAGAAACAGAGGAGCCATGGGTTCTAGAGAGAAAAGCAGTGGAGTATCTTCACACCCATTCTTTTGTGTGTCTAGGATATTTTAATTTCTTGTGGGCATAATTCACATCAAAAGAAGTTGACTGGGCTAGAAGGATCTCACTAGGTTTTTGACCCAAGAAAGTTGTGCACCAGCAGCACACATCTCATATCTACTGATGGAAGGGCTAATGCTGGTGAAAGGTAGAACCATCTAGGTTTCCCAGGTCAAGGAAGTAAACAGTATAAAACACCTATGAACAAACAACAGAAAACAATCCTACCCTCCTACTCATAAACGTTGTTATTTATACAAATGCCTCTCAAAGGATATCAAGGGCTAATTAGGATTTGC